TGCGGTACGCGGGCCTCTCACTGTCGTGGCCTCTCCCATTTGCGGAGCACAGGCTCCGGACGCGCAGGCTCAGTGGCCATGGCTCACGGGCCCAGCCGCTCCGCGGCATGTGGGATCTTCCCGAAGCGGGGCACGAACCCGCGTCTCCTGCATCGGCAGGCGGACTCTCAAGCACTGCGCCACCAGGGAAGCCCATCTTACGTTTCTTATCTTAAAATTTTTATATTTCTCCCTTGACTTCCTCCGAGAGCTGTGAAGACATGTCAGTCAAACTGACAGTGTGCTGGAAAGAGGAATAGAAGGGAGAAGGTGGGAGGGGAGCAGGGGGGACACATGGAAAAAAAGCAAAAAAAAGGCCCAAGCCAAAGAAACTGAACTAGAGCAAAGATGCTTTGGAAACAACTGCCAGGTCAGATGGGTGTGATCAAAGGTTTACTGATGCTGTGTGGGGAAAAAATCATTAAGGAAGGCTAGAACAAGACAGTCGATTCCAACCAGAGCCACAAATAAAACACATTCAAAGCAGTGCCATGGGGTAGCCTTTCCGTTACAGCCGGTGAAATAAAAAACAAGCTGATGATAGTTGGAAACACGAACCACAAAACAAAAGGAGATACTGATGTGAAAGAAAACAGTGCTTCTTACCCAGTTCAGTTATCATTAGAATGTGCGTCCCACTGTTTTTTTCCTGATTGACTGATACCAAAGGCAACTTGCCAGGTTTAGCTAAGGGGATACAGCAGTTAAGGGTTGGGGAAAGGGAGTGGAGGAAAGTACAGAAAAAGAAAAGAGTGAGGGAATAACAGAGGAGACATTCTAAAGTAAAGGGACCCAGGACCACAGGTAGTTAGTGTTTATCTTCGGGGGAAGAGACCACGTAGCAGTTTTGCAAATTCACAAATAGTAGCAGGGAGTGCCATGGCCAGGTTGAAAGCTGGATCCCACTGGCCAATGATCATGGCCCTCAAAACCCCATCATTTTTTGGACCAGAGCGGCAGTCACTGAAAATGGCCTTTAGCTGAAAAGCTCAACTAGAATAGATGAAATGTAAAATTATCACATAGTAGCCCAATGTTTCTACGCACGTCTCAAAATGGGATTGGCTTAGGCCTGAGGCTTTGTACCTCCAGGGAGGGACCTTCCACAGATGCTTCCAACGTCAATCACTGGAAAAAACCCTTGGACCATACCTTTCCTCCCTTCCTCCCGCTTCCCTAATGTATGCGCCAATCTCAAACCCTTCATCTCATACTCCTTTGAAAACAGTGACCAGCATAAGGAAACTATCTATTCACCTCAGAGGAAAGATAGATCAGTTTTCCCTTGGGTCATCTGTCATATTTCTACCCATACCCTTCTCCAATCTCCCCTCCAGACAAACCCCATTAGAGCCTACCACACTGAAAGAGCCAAGACTCAGGCCAACCTCCTTATATCCTGCATGGTCGGAAAAGAGGACCAAAAAAACCCACCCAAAGCTGACATTCACTCCCACCTAGTTCAGTGATGATGGGGATGTTGACTCCAGTTGTGATGGAGGGCTGGCGTAACATCCCATGTACTGGGCTGTTATCCGGAGAGGATCTGTCCATTCCTGGAGGTGTGAACCCTAGTGGGAAGGAAAGAGAGGAAGAAGAAAAATCAGAAATGTGGAAAATTTGGAAATGATGAAAGTATAGTGTGTATACACAATAAAAAAAGTAACATATGCATTATTTACAAGTCAAAAATTAGCACTCCCAGGATAAACGCTGATGAGTTGTTTTCAGAAGAACAAAGTAGGAGACCATTATAAAAAATTCTAACCCACTTTGACAGTTCCCTAAAAGCCAGTCTTTACACCAACTATTGATCTTACTCACAGATTTGTGTTCCCTTCTTCCTTCAGGCACACATGAGGATTGTACCTCTGTGCCTCCTTGAAGTTAGATATGACCACGTGACATAGGAAATGCCCTGGCCCATGAAAAGCAAACAGAACAACGCGTATCATCACTTCTGGTACAAGTATTTTTCTTTTTTTCTTTTTTAGATGTTGGGGGTAGGGGTTTATTTATTTATTTATTTATTTATTTTTGCTGTGTTGGGTCTTCGTTTCTGTGCGAGGGCTTTCTCTAGTTGTGGCGAGCGGGGGCCACTCTTCATCGCGGTGCGCGGGCCTCTCACCGTCGTGGCCTCTCTTGTTGCGGAGCACAGGCTCCAGACGCGCAGGCTCAGTAGTTGTGGCTCACGGGCCTAGTCGCTCCGCGGCATGTGGGATCCTCCCAGACCAGGGCTCGAACCCGTGTCCCCTGCATTAGCAGGCAGACTCTCAACCACTGCGCCACCAGGGAAGCCCTGGTACAAGTATTTGACTTGCCATCTCTCTTCCCAGGCTGTGGCAACACAGGTTACTATGGAGATGAAGGCTGGGCAGCAGCCCTGGACAGTAGCCCAGACACACAAAGCATTCTGAGTGAAAAATCAATCTCTGTTGCTTTAAGCCACTGAGACTTGTTTTGTTGTTGTTTGTGTCGTTGTTGTTACCACAGCATAACCTAACCTATCCTGACCGTTATCTTAAACCAATTGATTACTTATTCTCTTGCCAGTGAGGGACTTAAACCTGGGCCTTTGACAGGGTTCTGGCCAAGGGGAAGTGGGAGGAAATTGGCCTGGGCGCTTGAGGAGATGTTTCCTTGCTCTTAAAAACTATCACATGGGAAGAGATTCTTTTTTTTTTTTTTTTTTTTTGCGGTACGCAGGCCTCTCACTGTTGTGGCCTCTCCCGTTGCGGAGCACAGGCTCCGGACGCACAGGCTCAGCGGCCATGGCTCACGGGCCCAGCCGCTCCACGGCATGTGGGATCTTCCCGGACCGGGGCACGAACCCGTGTCCCCTGCATCGGCAGGTGGACTCTCAACCCCTGAGCCACCAGGGAAGCCCCAGAGATTCTCTTTTGATCCACTGGACATTGCTTTTGTGTCTGTAGTACCTGGAACTGTAGCAGCCGTCTTAAAACTAGGATGGGTGCCCACTGAGGACAAAGCCAACTTAATGAATTGGCTGAAGTGAATGATAAAAAGACTGAATGATAGGAAGAACTGTCCTTAGTTCCTGAATTAACCAGCCCTAGAATCAAAACCAATTGATCTCAGGGTTTCTTACTACCTGAGATTTTATATATTTATAAGTGAGATTAGAATATAAAATGTAGTAATGAGCTTTTATATACATTATACACATAATAATGAGATTATATATAATGTCTGTTTATGTATATTTATGTATTTTGTATTATGTATTAAATATTTATGTAGATATACACAATATAGGTACAACTATATATTTATGTGTGTGTGTGTGTGTGTGTGTGTGTGTGTGTGTGTGTATGTGTGTGTGTGTGTATTTATTTTCCTCCCTTCTGTTTAAGCCAAACTGAGGAGTTTTTTTTTACTTGCAGCTGAAATCATCCTGACTGCTGCATATGCCGCCTGCTTATAGTGGACCCTTGAACTTCCCAGTGTGCTTGACACAGACCCCATAAGGTAGATGTGGGCACAGTAAACTGGAGAGTAGCCTACTTGTTCTGACTTTTGCAGTTTGGGCTTCTTTGGGTCTCAGACCCAAATCTCAATACATATCAGAATGAGCTTGGCCCAACCATATTTTCCAGTTTAGGGAGGGTGAGAAAGCATCCCAGCTAGGCCAAACGACTGCCTCTTTAAGGAGGTACATAGCCGTATAAACATGATACACTTATTTTCTTCATACATTCTTTTGGTGAAAATTAATTTTGCCACGTGGCAAGTGGCACCGCCAGCTCCACACTGGCCGCCATGCCCAATTGCCTTCCCCACCTTATAGAACAGGCAGACAGAAGTTCACGTTCTCTTTGTTTTCTCTTCTTTGCCCGTGCTGGATGGCTACCTGGGCTTATCAATGGATTAGGGAATTACAGATACAGTCACTTGCGAAGTTTCCAAGAACAAATTTCCGAAGATTGTGTGACCAGATAGATTAGGGACTCTCTCTGGTAATGCGACAAGACTGGGTTGTTTCTGGCATGAAGGTATGTGTGAATCGTTATCTACCAGGAATGAAATGACAGGTGTTCATAATTGCCTGTTGCTTTGGAAGTACATCATGCATGAAATGCCAGAAAAATATAAACGAGTTTTCCTGTTTTCTGCTCTCCTGTGTATAAATTTCACTGGAGTGTCATATTTTCAGAAAGAAAAAAAGAAGTTTTATTTACCATTCACTCCCTGATTGCACTTAATTTTATTCTTTATACTGATACCCTGTGCACAGGGTAAGTAACTTTGAATGACAGTATAGTGTCCATCTTTCTAAACTTTGGAATGTGTGTTTTTCAGCCAACCAGGTAACCAAGAACACGCAATTGAAATGCTTGCTGCTTTCTTCCCCTAGAATAGTGAAGGGGGAAAACTGAACTGTTTTCATCAGAAGTTTCATTCAAAAGCATGAAAAACTGCAAGTGACAGCTGTGCAGATTCAGTGGATGTGACGTTTTTGAATTTCTTCAACTTGACAAGTAAACACCTTAAATCGGTAATGCTATATGCATAATACATGGCCTGTATTTTGACATCCATCATCAAATGCTGACTTGAGAAAATACGGGTTTGTACGTCAAGGACTAGCACCCGTAAAACAGGTAAAAATGCAGGTCACACGGTATTAGGAAAACAGTATTTCATTACAGAACCGGCAACAAACCAAAGCTTCCTTTTATTTTATCTTATTTAAAGATTCCGTTTTCAGCTGTGAAAAGACTCAATTCCTTTGCATGAAACCTTCATTTAGAAATGACATGCTTGCCTCATAGGCCTCTTTCATTTTGCTTTCATATTCCATTTTCCCCTTCAGTCGCCAAGCCTGGTTCCATTAGCATCTGAAACTGACAAACTATGGTGGATGTCCAAAGACATCTCTCCATTAAACGTCTTTCTCTCTCCTACACAGGACCCCAAGAACGGGGTGATTTTGTTGGAAAGAAAACCTCAGCAATGATAATGTCACTCTTTATTTTGCTACTTTTATAGTCACACATTTTTATAAGCAAAGGCAAAGAGAACAGAAATAGATTTTATCTTTTTTTTTTGCCCTTCCCGAAGAGTTGTGTTAAAGAGGAACAGAATTTATTAGCATTGTTTCATTCTTAGAGATCCTACGATGGGAAACTTGTGGCTTGAAATGGCAGAGCAGACCCAGATTCCCGAAGTGGCCTTGGAAAGAACAGAAAATCAGGCACCTTCCTTCCAAAGAGAAGAGGCAATCCGGCCTTTGGTGCCATTTGATGGCATCTACACCATTCACCATAGCGGCTGTCAATAAAGGGGCAGGTCTAAATGGCATCCAGGTCCCTAATGGTCTTGCTTCCCATCCCTTTGTTAGCTGCAGTGGGTACATCTTTGGTTGAATTTTAAGTCCCTCTACATAAAGCAGTGCTTCAGTTCTGCATGTGAAAGTGCTGGCACGTGGAATATCCTCCAGGGACCCTGATCTACAGCTAGAGGATAGTGAAACTGGGAAACGCTCCTTCCGTTAGTTGAACTAACACTCGGGAAGTTAATTTTAGAAACAACCACTTATTTTGCCAGCAGAGATGATGAAGAATGTTGGCATGGGAGAGATGGAATCAGAAGTTCTCAATCAGGAAAAGATTCAAGTTTAATTAACTACAACCCAAGCTCTTACCAAGATGGCCTCCTGGTTCTTTAGATGTATTCCCTCTCCTCTCTGTTGAGCATGGACATGGGAAGCAAGTTTTGGGCTAAAGATAACTTGAAAGACTACCTGAACTCCTTACACTGAAAACCCCTCCCCATTTCAATCTTCAGGGGCAGATAGGATGGGCTTACTTTACTTGTTCTCTTCCTTTGGCATCAGGCAGAAATGGGCCCAACATTGCCCCCTGCCAAGCATGCTCACTCCATATGCTGCAGGAGAACTTTAGGTCAAAGACTGGGTTTTCTATTTCTTTAAACATCCCAGGTTGTCTACAAAATGCCTGGCCCACAGAGAAGAAACGGAGCGGAATAGCTAAGAGCATGTGCTTTGGAGTCAGATGTCTTAGGTTTAAATTCTGGCTCGTCTACTTATAAGCCACATAACCATGAGCACAGCACAGACTCTCCAAACCTCTGTTCCTTTGTCTGTAAGCTGGAATTACCCACTATACAGGGCAGTTGTGAGAATAAAATGAAATAGTATATTTAAAACATTTAGTACAATGCCTGGTATGAAGAAAAATACTTTTAAAATGTTGACTACCAACGTTAATAGTTTACTCAGGACACAATAAATATTCTGGCTAGGAATAGCATCCACTGCCTCCCCATTCCCTATGGATAAAGACCTGAGGTAGCTTTTGGTAGAGTTTTTTAAAAGAATTCTCACATAGAGAAAAATCCTGGAAAAATTAATGGGAAGGCAATAGCAGTGTGGATATATGTAATCAGGTCAATCCAGTGATAAAAATACAGCCTAAAATATTTAAGGACGGAGTATTTTGGATATTGGATGGCTAGGATTTTCTTTGGGTATGTTGAAAAACTGGTGTCCAGTCTTCATGAAAGAAAGGTTCTTAATGCCTTATAGCAA